ATAGCCTACCACTGTTCCACCACACATGGAGTTTCTCTACGCTAGGATCCCCCCTCCCTCTACCTCTGTACAGGGAGCTGTTTTCTTCTTTCTTGCCTATTAAATTATCTGTGCTCCTTAAACCACTCCAGACTTGTGTCCATGTCGTTTCATCTAAATCAGCGTGAGACCAAGGACCCTGGGGTTCCTCCAGTCATCGCAGCTGTGTCATTTTGGTGCATTGGTCTGAAATTCATTCAACGGATTGGTGAGTATGGAATGGCATGAATCTCAACCTCACATCTGTCCTTCAATCTCAAGGCTCTCTTCCTGCTACCCTGTTCGCAAACTTTCTTTCTCTTTCTATTCGTGGTCTCTTACTCTCTGTGTGTGTAGAATGTGCAGGAATTCTTACAGCCTAGGCAAGTAATCCTGTTAGGCAAAATTAGGTAATGCTGTAGTCCCGGGGATATAGCTCAGGAAAATGCCCTTGCAATCTTCTAGGAAAAGATTCTAAGATTCTTACCCCTCCATGCCACCCCCTCCCTCCCACGCCACCCTCCCACCAGGCCACCGCCCCAAACCACACCACCCGCCCCGCCCCACACAGAGCTCAGATCTCTGGCAAGCACATGGTATTCCTAAGCCAACATCGCCACCTAGTGGAAATAGGACTCCTTTCCATAAGACACATTACTGGTTCTCCTCAGTACATTACAGCTTTCCAGCTTTTCCTTTTTGCGCCTTTTCTACTGGAAACTAGGCTCTAAGCTACTTCTATGAATGGGAAAGTTCTGCCTTCCACAGTTAGGAGCAGGAAGACTTCCATAGCTAAACTTTAGTCTCGATATTGTCCCATCAGCAGAAAAACGACCATTTGGTTCCTATACTCTTTCAGGGCACCTATTCTGTCTCCGATTAAGATGGTACTTAATTAGTAAGGGGATTTTAAGTCTGGAAGTTAATCGGAACCATTTTTCTAAGGGTAGATGCTTTAGCACGGGCCGTAGTAACAGGCAGGCTGGCACATTGCCTCCGCTAAAGGAGCCTTGCCCTAAGGAGACACAGTCTCTCCCGAGGTCCATTTTTCGGGAACCTAGTGGATCACACAGATTTAGGAAGTCAAAGGGGAATCACACAGGCAGATAAGCTAAGGCTGCATGGTAAAGCTGGTTAGTCCCATCACTTAATTCGGAGGACCACACCTACAGCCATAGGTGGCACATTTAACATGGTGCCAGGACCCAGGAACCAGGGAGGGAAAACAATCGGAGGACGCCCCCTGTCTCATCCTCCACCCTGGGTCATCCAGAAAGGAAGGAGACTAACAGGACACTTTAATTCTTGCCTCTTTTTCTAGATGGGTAACATCATCTTCCGCTCGCACCCTTGTGGAGTGCACTCTGAAACACTGGAACCTCCTTAACCTCAGGACTTTGAAGAAAAAAACGACTCATTTTCCTTTACACAAGGGGACGGCGTTTTTACTAAACCTCTGCAAGCGCTGTAAGACCAACCCAGGTCTTTTAGCAATCATATCGGGCAGGCCCAGGGAGAACAGTTCCCCAAAATTAGAAAAGCAACTTCCAGGGGAACCATCTGAGGGTCCTCCTTATTTTGGGCCCCTTCAGGCTCCCTTATCATTACAGGACCTTAAGCAAATAAAGGGAGACTTACGCCGATTTTCCAGCAACCCTGATAGGAAGGTAGAAGGTTTCCAAAATTTAAGTTAGGCGCTTCACCTCACATGAAGGGATGTTATGTTTCTCCTATACCAAACCCTAACAGCAGCTGAAAAGCAGGCAGCTCTGCAAGCAGCAAATTTCAGAGATGAGCAACAAATCTCCTATGATATACCAAGAGGGAAGAAAGCAGATAGGGAGAGAGAAGACACAGTGGAAACTCCATCCCCACTAGGAAGGGAAGCAGATCTGGTAAACAGCCCGGTGTGGGACCCCAATACTCAAGAGATGAATGTAAAAGGAAGCACGTTTTAAGGTGTATGTTAAAGGGCCAATGGAAGACCAGGGCCAAACCCCTCAATTACTCTGAACTGTCTGGGATAAACCAAAAGCCAGATGAGAATCCTGTAGCCTTTATGGAAAGGCTAAGAGAGGCACTAATAAAGTACACCTCTTGATTCCCTGATTCAGTCGAGGGACAGCTCATTCTAAAGGACAAGTGTATCACACAGGCAGCTCAAGATATTAAAAGAAAGCTACTAAAGCAAGTTATCAGACTAGATACACTCTTGAAGGTGGCCACTTTGGTCTTTTATAATGGGGACAGGAGAAGGCCCAAAAGAAAGAAAGATCAAGAGGACAGAGGCCCTAGCAGCAGCTTTGCAGGTTTGCAAAATCCAGGATCCCCCAGGTGCATCTGCTAGTTACTATCAGTGTGGCAGGCCAGGGTATTTTAAAAAGGAATGCCCAGGAACCAAGAGAAAGCCACCTCAACGCTGTCCAGCCTGTGGCAGAGGCCACTGAAGATGGAACTACCCCCAGAGATGGAGGTCACTGGGTTCAGGAGCAGTCTCACAGATGGTCCTGCAGGACTGATGGGTCCTGGGGCTCAAATCCCGGCTTCAGCGGCTCAAACTGCCATTACAGTGCAGCAGCCCCAGTGATTCTGGAAATTAAAGGAAGGAAAGTAGACCTCCTTCTAAACATTAGAGCCAGTCTCACTTTTCTCCTCTCTAATCCAGGCCTCTCCTCTTCCCATAGCATGACCGTAAGGGATGTCTCAGGAAAAACTCTAATGTGATATTTTTCTCAACCTTAGTTGTAATTGGGAGGACCTGTTTACACATGCTTCCAAGCCATTGTCTTAATAGCTCTGCTAGTCAGAAAAGCCTACAGGGTAACCCTAGGAAAAAATAACTGTTTACACTGCACGTAATGTGTCAGGATGACTGTCCTCTAGGGGGAGCTCTTAGCTAACAGCTGGTAAAGCAAGAAGTACACGAGGCAGGATATGCAGTAGTCGCTCTAAATAACGTCTCTCCCCAGGCACAAGTGCTGAATTAGCTGAGCTAACAGCTCTTACTGTTAACTGTTTAACAGTAAGAACTGTTAAATTAAGTTCACTTAAATTAAGAACACTTAAATTAAGCAAGGGAAAGGTGGGTAACATTTATGCTAACTCCAAGTATGCTTTCTTAGCTCTCCATGCTCATGGTGCCATTCAAAAGGAAAAGCATTTACTCACCACTAATGAATCTCCTGTAAAATATGGCCGAGAAATTAGCAGGTTATAATCCTGTTTGTCTTCCATGAAAAACAGCTGTAATGCATTATAGGGGACATCAAAAGGAAACAGATAAGGTAGCCAAACGAAACAGAATAGCTAATCAGGCAGGTAAGTCAGAGGCAAGGAAGCTTCAAGGCATTAACGCACTTCAAGCCCTTATAATCTAGGAAGACTCTGAAAAAGACATTAAACCTCAGTATTCCCCTGCAGAAATAAAATCACCTTTATTTAATCCAGGAAATTTGGAATTAGTACTAACTCTCATCTCTGTCTCCTTCCCTAAGCCAAGCTGGGAGGGGCCCTCCACTGCTCCTCTTTCAACCCCCTCAACCGTAAAAGTTACAGGAATCGACTTCTAAATACATCACACTCAAGTCAAAGCCTGAAGAGCTGAGGGAACAACCCCCGCAGCCCAAAGGAATGTCCTGAATCTCAATGTGGAGAAATAGAAGATCTTCAACTGAAAATCATCAAAGATAAGTAACTGTGTGAGGCCTACTGATCTGACTCAGTCCCACTCCTACCTCATCAGATACTCATTATTTCTGCCCTTTCCTCTCAAAGTTCACCACCAAATATTAAAACTTCTTTTTGAAGCATATTTTCAGGGAGATTTTAATTATTCATAGAATCACATTTGTAACTTTGTAGATCCCCAAAGAGAAATGTTACATCTTGGCAATTAAAGTTTTAAATGGAAATGATTTACTATGCCACTCTTGTAAGAATTGGTCGTCACACTACTATTTGCAATAGTACTACACACTATGGCACCCACAATGTGGAATTCTGGTTGTAAAATTCTAACTGCTGTAATAGTTTGCCTAATTATCAACCTTATAACAGCATTAATAATTGCAGGAAAGATTTTGTCAAAATTGTGTTTCTTATAGCAGGAGTAATAGTTACAGATAAGAAGCAAGCATGAAAGTTTTACTATCATTAAGTTTAATAGAAGTTTTTACTGAAGGTTGGTAATATAATGCACTCTAAGCTATAAAGAGAAGGTTATAAAGAGATTTTATGTGAGAAAGGATTTTGTATGATAAATACTTGTTCTAAAAGGAAATAACTGGTTGTTAAAAGAATTAATGTTTAGGACAAGTCAGAAAGTTTAAGTATGTAGTAACAGGGTCTGTGAAAGTTGTGAAATAATAATTAAAGGAAAAAACTTGTCAAGATTAACACTAAAGTTATTTTAGCCACCCAGTAACGTATTTCTCCCAAGCATATTGCAAGTTATAAAAATGGCCTAAGCCTAAAGTTATTCTCTAATGGCAAGTCAAAGGGGAAATGTATACTTTTCTCAAGGAAAATGTTACTTTTATATTAACGTTTCTGTAATGTACAACAACATCTAGTGGAGGCAAGCCAGTATTTCAATCCATTAGTGCAACTACACAGGTATCAAACTCAGGGTCTGTAGGACCCCCACTAACGGTGGTAATTTTAATACTCATATTCTAACCCTGTATTTTAAACTTTCTTGTAAAATTTGTCTCTTTTCACCTAGAAGCAATCAAACTCCAAATGATGCTCCAAGCAAAGCCACACATTCTTGGAAGAATGCTTCCAAGAACCCTTAGATCAGCCTCAGGAGAAGGCCCAGCTGCTTGTTCCCCACACGATACCCATTGTTGGCAGAAAGTAGCCAGAAAGAATCGTCATCCAACCCCACTGACAGCAGTTAGGTTTGCTTCTCTTGAGAGGGGGAATAATATAGGAGTTATTAAGAAATAATTTTTAGGCAGAGGATGAAAGAAATTCTCAGTAAGGCTTTTTCTTTTAATAAAAGCAACCCCCAAACCATTTCTTTTTTGTGAGATGGAGCCTCACTCTGTCACCCAGGCTACAGTGCAATGGCGCAATCTCAGCTCACTGTAACCTCTGCCTCCCTGGTTCAATTGATTCTCCTGCCTCAGCCTCCCGAGTAGCTAGAATTACAAGCACATGCCACAAATCCTGGCTAATTTTTATGTATTTTTAGTAGAGATGGGGTTTCACCACTTTAGCAAGGCTGATTTCAAACTCCTGACCTCAAGTGATCTGCCTGCATCCACCTCCCAAAGTGCTGGGATTACAGGCATGAGCCACTGCACCCAGCCAACCCATTTCTTTTCTAACAGAAAGGCAGATTAAAGGGCTAAGCTGGCAAGTTTTGATATGCAAATGCCAGCCATTAGAAACTAGGTCTATCCAATATGGTGATTTCCGCCTTCTTCTAGTCACCAGGTATGCCAAGTGTCATGGCTGCCTCCAGATAACACCATGTGCTCACGACATCATGACACCCCACATTTGCACGGTAAAAGGCTAAGGTGGGAGGGCCAGGTTTTTCTGCAGGCTACATGAATGACACCTTGTCAAACCAATCGCCTGGGCCCTATGCATATCAGGCACCGCCTCCTCCAGCCTCCCATATAACCGACCACTTTTCTGCCCTCCCTTGTCTCTGTACGGGGAACTGTTTTCTTCTTTCTTTCTTCTTTCTTGCCTATCAAATTATCCACTCCTTAAAACACTCCACATGTGTCCGTGTCATTTTATCTAAATCAGCATGAGACCAAGGACCCTGATGTTCCTCCAGTCGTTGGAGCCATATCCGGGCCATTTAGTTAAATGGAGAGGCAAAGGTGGTTTAGTGGTGGATGGGGGGCTTAGTCATTAAGAACCTGTTTATGGACATGGTTAATTTGGGTATTAATACCTTATAAAATGTGATGCCATCAGGTCCATAACACTTCCCAGGAACCGTGGCTTTTTCACTGGGGTTTTAAGCTCCTCTGGGAAAACCAGGGGCAGTGTCCACAGTGTTAGATGCCATCCTCAAGGTCAGTAAACAATGACTCTGACCTCGGGTCACTCATTCATTCATGCCTCCCACAAACACACACGTACGTTCCAGAAGGAAGATCTGCACATCCTTCCATCTTTACAATCAACCTGTAGAGGCCTTTATGAGCTCTAGAGGTCCAGACAGATCCAGAATCTGTCATTTTACTTCAAGAAAAATTATCTTTCTTGGTATATATCTGCACAGAAAAGTAAAAATAAAGCCATAGCATGGCCTCTAATCCCCCAGTTCAGGAAACACAGCCAAGACATGGCCCCAGCCAGGCTCCCCAGCTTCACACCCCCTCCAGACCCAGCCCTGGCATCAGTTCATCTTGCAGCCTAGATGGGACATTTCTATTTCTTATTCCAGGAGACCAGGTGGCTGCACCAGGAGGGCCTGTCTCCTGGGGGTGACAAGTCAGGCCGAGAGAGAGGTGAGCAGGAGCCCAGGCCCCAGCTGCCCCAGGGGGGGTCCCCTTTTTCTCATCTCCCTACACAAAGATATGGAAGGCAGGCATGAAAGGTCATTTTCCTCTGTGTGTCCAGTTTTTTATCATTCCTCATCTTCAGCTTTGTATTTCTACCTTTTCTGTTCAAAAGAAAAATAATAGCTACCATATAATTATCTCTTTGATTATTTTATCAAGCCTCTAGATTTTCCTAGTTCTAATATTATTTACATTGTTCTGCTTTCCTTGGCTTCCTTTTTTCATTTTAGTTAAAAATTAAATGCTATGAATTTTCTGCTTCAAATAACATTCATGCTAAGATTTTGACCTGTCTAGTTTTCATTTTTAGTATTTTCTAAATAATCGTTCAGTTTAGGTTTTGATGATTCTCTGAGCCAAAGTTTATGGAGGAGAGTTTTCTGATTTCCATAGTTGCTATTTTTACTTCAATTTTTGTCACCTGTTTCTAAATTGACTGAAATGTGATTATAGGAAATGACCTCCATTAGAAAATTTTATTTTTCAAACAATTTTGAGGCCTTCTTTGTAGTCCAAGGGTAAATTTTAAGGAAGGGTGCAACGTCACCCAAAGTTAAGCATTTGTTAAATATTTTCAATTACGTGGCACGGTTCTTTTGTAATACATCCACAGGAGTTTTAAACTTTCTTAATGGAAACATCTGCTGTGCCAGCAAACCATCATATGTGACTCTTCAGGGACAGCCAATGCAGGCTTTGTCTCCGGTCATTCATTCTTTCCTTCATTTGTTCATTGACACATGGAATACTGAACACCCCCTCTGCACTTGGGCTCTTCCTGGACATGGGGGAGACATAGGGGTGAGGCCCAATGCAGTGCACAAAGGCTTTCTAGGTAGAGAGAACAGCAAACACAGGACAGGGAGGTTGTTTCCTGTGGAAAGAGGGACCCCTGGCAGGGTGGAGGGAATGGGAGTTCTTTATCATTTCTGTCCTCCCCCTCTCTCTAGGCGTGTTCTGCACCAGGTGCCTGGGACAGGCTGCATTTGGGGGTGAAACCCTGTTGTGGCCTCCACAGTCGTTTCAGTTCTAATAGTTTGTCTGTTAATATTTATGTTCATGGTAAAATCTTGGTATATAAACTTTACCAAATTTTACAAAAGCACTTATTTCCATTTTATGGCAATTTTCTTTGATAGATTTTACAATTTTGAGTTATCCTTGCATTTATGGAGTAAATCTACTTGTCCATTATACATTTTTAAATACACTCTTGGATTTAGTGAGTTAATATTTAATTAGGAAATCCAAATGAAATAGATTATAATTTCCTTTTATTTTACTGTCCTTATCTGATTTGGGAATCAAGGATATACTAGCATTATAAAAATAAGTCAGACAGAGTTTTCCCTTTTTCTATTTTGTGAAACAGCTGGTATAAGACAGGGCTGGTCTCAGACTCCTGGGTTCAAGTGATCCTCCTGCCTTGGCCTCCCAAAGTGCTGGGATCACAGGCCTGAGCCACCACACCCAGCCTTGTTTCCTTCTTGAAACCAGTTTTCCTATTGACAAGATCGATGTCAGTTTGTGGGTTGTTTCTTCCCTTTGCTGGGACTGCCCAGCGCCACTGCCCTCTAGGTTTGGGAGGGGAAGGGCAATAATCAAGGAGGGTTTAACAATCATCTGTCCCTTTCTCACCTTCACTCCAGCCTGGCTTCATCTCAGTCCTTAGATTAACCTCCTTCCTCTGCTGCTACTGGGTGGGGTCTGCGTTTTCTGCCTTGTGCAAAGCAATGGGCAATGCTCCATCCAGGGCAACAATAGGAGATAATATGACTTACCTAGAAAGCCCCTCTTTTCTCAGCCTATGCCTATCCGCTTTGTGTCATTTCCCTCTTCCTCCCCAACTGAGATCTAATTTCCTTTCGCCTCTCCTAAAATTCCTCGGTCTCCCACCAACCTCCCTCTGGTGCCTCCTGTATCTCTAGATTGGTTTTAGGACAAGGGGTCAGCATCTCTACTGGTTGACCACTTCTTCTGAGAGTAGGGTGGTTCCTTCTACCCATTCTTTTTCTTCTTCTTCTTTGAGACGGAGTCACTCTGTCACCAGGCTGGAGTGCAATGGCACGATCTCTGCTCACTGCAACCTTCGCCTCCCAGGTTCAAGCAATTCCCCTGACTCTTCCTCCCAAGTAGCTGGGACTCCAGGCGCACAGTACCACGCCTGGCTAATTTTTTGTGTATTTTATGAGAGACAGTCTCACCATATTGGTCAAGATGATCTCGATCTCCTGACCTCACGTGATCCACCCCCCTCGGCCTCCCAAAGTGCTGGGATTACAGGTTTGAGCCACCGCGCCCAGCCCCACCCATTTATTTAATGTTCCTACTCAGTTTTAGGCCATTTCCATGCTTTCACCACCTCACCTCAAGTGTCAAGTCGCAAGTGGCTGCATTGCAAAAGAGAAAGAGAGAGAGAAAGAAAAGAAAAAAAAGAAAGAGAGGGAGGGAGGGAGGGAAAGAGACAGAGAGAGAGAAAGAAAAGAAAGGAAGGGAGGAAGGGAGAGAGGGAGGGAGGGAAGCATCCTTCCCTGGAGCTACAGACCAATACAGATCACATGACCAAGCCATAAAGATGAATGGAAGGCCAGGCTGGCACAGGGTCCTGTCTGTTCTCCAGGAGAGCCCTTCTCACCTCTCCCCTTGCCGCTCTCCAGCCCCATCAGCCTCCTGCCAGCTCTTCCTGTCTATGACAGCCACATCTCCCTCTCAGGAATCTTGGGGACTGTGCCTTGGGATTACATGCCTTGTATGTAATCTCCTCTGCATTCTGTTCTTATTTTTGTCTTTCCCCAAGATAGTTATTTCAAAGTATTTTCATTTTGCACAAACAAGATGGTAAGTTCCTCTTAGCCTGCAGCCAGCCAGCACACTGGATGTCAGAGTCACAGTCCTGGGTTCATCTCCACAGGCTGGAGTGCAGAGCCAACTTGCTTCCTGCAAGACAGAAAGTGAAACCAAAGGAAAGCCAGGAGCCCATCTGGTAGTGAGAGTTACTATGAGCTGCCCTGACGCATTGCAGCCCTCTTCCTGCCACCAGCATCATCTTAGCCACTCCCAGCTCTACCCAAATCATCCTCTGATCTGGGCCTTTCACTTCAAGCGGGGCCTTCTCTGAGACCTTTAAGATCCCATGTCCCCTTACAACCACTTCTAAGGGCACGTGGGGACACTTGTCCCACAGGCTGTGAAAGAAGCTTCGGCACTCTTCAAGCTCTGTGGTCTATTCCAAACTCCTCTGTCTGTAGGCAAAAATTCCTGCTCCTTTAGTGCCCTCACTACGTGTCAAGAGCATTCTCTACCCTCCTTGTTGCTGCCAGCCTGCAGCCTACTTGCTGCTCACCCTCCATCTCTCTTGGTTCCTCCCAAGTATGTAAATATGCTCAAGCCTGGGCCAGCTCCCCTGGTGCCACCCACGTCTCACTTTCTCTGGAGAGACAACCTTCTTCCAAGAAAAGACTGTAAACTTCACCATTCACTCATCCCCCGTTCACTTTACAACCCTTGGCTCAGACTCTCCAGGGAAATAGTTCTGGCCAATGTCTCTGGAAGTGACCTTCTACTCTGGTCATTTAACTGACATTTTTCAGCCCTTGTCTTGCTTGATTGCAGTATATCTCCATCTCTCTGCATCTCTTTTTTCTTTCTTTTTTTTTTTTTCTGAGACAAGGTCTCCCTCTGTCACCCAAGCTGGAGGACAATGGATGATGGATGGATGGATGCATGGATGGATGGATGAATAAATGAATGAGTGAATGTTCTACTCTGTGGGTCTCAAGCCCTGCCTCAAGTATATTGTATTATATTATATTATATTATATTATATTATATTATATTATATTATAGTTAGTTCTTGGAGTCAAACAAACTAAAAACATTTAGATAATGTCAAACAGTGCAATTAAGTGGCTCGAAACTATGTCACTTGACAAGTTTAAAAGAGGTAGAGAACAGGGTAAGGGAAAAAGACTTAATATTTATTGGATAGCTACTCGCGACATCTTATTAGGTATTTTTAAAGATTTTTTCTTATTTAATCCCATAAGAATGCCCTGAATCAATATTATCTTCATTTTATAGATCCAGAAATAGGGCATGAAAATATGAACTTGGCTGAGGTTATACAATTAGGTGGCAAAGCCCAAATTTAAGCACAGGTCCCTGTCTGATTCCAAAACCACAGTCTTTCTAGGAGCTTATGCCAAAGTTCTGCTCAGGCAACCATGAAGGTTGGCAGACAGTGGGAGGAGGCAAAGGGACCAGTGGCAAGACTACTGGGATATCCTAGTAAGAGTTTGAAAACTGGTCATTAGAGAAATGCAAATCAAAACCACATTGAGATACCATCTCACTCCAATTAGAATGGCGATCATTAAAAAATCTGGAGACAACAGATGCTGGAGAGGATGTGGAGAAATAGGAACACTTTTACACTGTTGGTGGGAGTGTAAATTAGTTCAACCATTGTGGATGACAGTGCGGTGATTCCTCAAGGCCTTAGAAATAGAAATTCCATTTGACCCAGCAATCCCATTACTGGGTATATATCCAAAGGACTATAAATCATTCTACTATAAGGACACATGCACACGAATGTTCATTGCAGCACTGTTTACAATAGCAAAGACCTGGAATCAACCCAAATGCCCATCGATGATAGACTGGACAGGGAAAATGTGGCACATATATATCATGGAATATTATGCAGCAATCAAAAATGATGAGTTCATGTCCTTTGTAAAGACATGGATGAATCTGGAGAACATCATTCTCAGTAAACTGACACAAGAACAAAATGAAATACTGCATGTTCTCATTCATAGGCAGGTGATGAACAATGAGAACACATGGACACAGGGAGGGGAGCACTACACACTGGGGTCTGTTGGGGGGAATAGGAGAGGGACAGTGTGGGGTGGGGAGCTGGGGAGAGATAGCATGGGGAGAAATGCCAAATATAGCTGAAGGGGAGGAAGGCAGCAAATCACACTGTCACATGTGTACCTATGCAACTATCTTGCATGTTCTTCACATGTACCCCAAAACCTAAAATGCAATTTAAAAAAAAGAGTTCAAAATCTCAACAGGACAACGGCAGTGGGACCCTGAGACAGACAAGACAGACATAGACTTTATGGGCTCCGATGTGCGGCGTTACTCAGGCCAATGTCCTGTTGGATGAGAAGGTAAGAGAAGGAAGGATGAGAGTGAATTTTGGGCAACTGGACAGGCGAAGGTGCCATTTCAAGAGGTTTGTTTTCCATGCACTCTGCAGGGGCATTACAGGGAGTCAGATTTCTGCTCTCTACAAAGAAGGACTTTCTGGCCAGAATAAAAGGGGATGCCTGCAGAAGCGGAGGGGGATAGCACCAACTCATCACACCTCTGCTGGAATGGTGGACAGCAGGGTGCAGGCTTCCAGAAGCGGGGCGACAGAGCAGACAGGCCTCCACACTCATGGCCTTCCCTGCAAGTCCGTGGCTCTGATTCACTCAAATAGTATTGAGTATGCTTTTTCTTTAGCTTTTTCTCAAGGTGACAAGAATGGGGGTTTTGAAGAGTAGTTTGAGAGGATGGATTTAAAAGTTAAACTTTTGAAAAGATTTGCCAGGCCAGGTGTGGCTCATGCCTATAATCCCAGCACTTTGCGAGGTTGAGGCAGGTGGATCACTTGGGGTCAGGAGTTCGAGACCAGCCTGGCCAACATAGTGAAACCTCGTCTCTACCTTAAGCCCCCTCAGCCAGGCATGGTGGTGCGTGCCTGTAATACAGCTACTCGGAAGGCTGAGGCAGGAGAATTGCTTGAACCTGGGAGGCAGAGGTTGCAGTGAGCCGAGATCGCATCATTGCACTCCCGCCTGAGTGAAAGAGTGAGACCCTGCCCCCCGCCCCCCCCCCCACACATGATTTACCAGCTAGGTAAATCTACCATGGCTTTATTCCCCTTCACAGTCACTATCTATTTGGTAGTAACACAAACTTTTAGCTTAGAAGGAAACATGTGAACTTTCATATTAACTCTCTTTAAATTCAGTAGTACTCTATGTATAATCAAATAAACTTATTTGGTTAAAAGAAAATATTTTTGGTATAGTTTTTTTTAAGCAATCAAATTGCCGCTTTCCACTGCTTTGCACTTTGATGGTCTGATATGTGGGATCCACAGACAGTCTGACTGTCCCCAGGGCCCCTCATCAGTTTAGTCTTAAGAAATAGCAGGTGGCCAGTTTCCAGGTCAGACACCAGGGAGCTCTACCCCAGCTTTCCTTATTACCAAGATCAACCCTTGCAGTTCTAGAGAGGCAGTTTCCCTGAAATAGTGGGACGTTTGTCCAGTGGCCTGCAAGTGACCGCAGCTTTTGCCAATTAAAATGGTTGATAAAAGAGAAAAGAGCCGGGTGCGGTGGCTCATGCCTGTAATCCTAGCACTTTGGAGGCTGAGGTGGGTGGATCATGAGGTCAGGAGTTCAAGATCAGACTGGCCAACATGGTGAAACACCATCTCTACTAAAAAATAAAAAATTTAGCTGGGCATGGTGGCTTGTGCCTGTAACCCCAGCTACTTGGGAGGCTGAGGTAGGAGAATTGCTTGAACTGGGACCCAGGAGGCTGAGGTTGCAGTGATCCGAGATCGCGCCACTGCACTCCAGCCTAGGCTACAGAGTGAGACTTCATCTCAAAAAAAAAAAGAGAGAGAGAGAGAGAAGGGCCATGGCTGGGACCCCAAAACCATAACCCATCACCTGACACCTCTTAGTCGTGTGGGAAATATAGAGGCACCATAGAAAAGCTAGAGTTAGAAATGAGCTTCGGGATCATTTCACAGGTGGGGAAACTGAGGCCCAAAGAGCTGAAGGAAATGCAGGCTGCTGGGCTGCTCCATACCTCCAGGTGGATATGCACCCCTTCCAGAGCCCCAGATCAGAGCCCTCTCCCCAAGTCCCCACCTCACTCACTGCCTGCAGCAACTGGAAGCCCTCACGTGGGTTGCCCCAGGAAAAGCACTCAGGAGGGATGTCATGCAGCCTTGAGCTGGAGCCCACCTCATGGCAGGCGGCAGTGTGGCTGCGTGTCTGCGTCCCTGCAGAGGCACAGAGGGACCTTGCAAGCCCACCTAGCAGCCGCCTGGGCCCCAGTCTCCTTGGGCATTGTACTGAGTTATCCATGAGGTTAATGACTCTGCTTTCACATAAGTCAGCCTGACAGTCTGCTCTTTGAAACATTAAAATAAAACAAAAAAATGCTGTAATTAAACACTGTCTTCAAAGTGCCTCTTTCCCAGAGATGGCAGTTAAGCCAGAGGGGAGCCAGGATAAAAGCTCAGACCAAGTCCTTTTTGTCCCCAGGGGCACGTTTCAGGCTCTTGTGCCAAAACAACAGAAGCTGAGCAATGGGGTAGAAAAACTCCATATCTTTTATATCCAGCCCAGACCAGTTAGCGCGACAAATTGGCGGGAGCCCGGCCTCCTGCGGGCCCTGGCGCCTGCTTCCTGAGGACCAGGGATCTAAGCAAACAGAGGTGAGCTGACGGGTCCTCCCGGGCAGGGCAGGGAGGGATGGAGATCAAGTTAATCTGCTGCTGCCGCTTCTGCAGTCAAGTGAGGCCCAAACCCAACTTGGAAGGTGTCCACTTCTGAGGGAAGCCTGCGCCATGGCCAGCAGGAATGTCGTGCTGTCCTTCCTCACCAGGGAGGCTGCCAAAGCCAGACTCAAGACCTGAGAGACTTGGTGCAGACATAAATGTCTGCTCCTAGGTGCTTATGGACTATGGAGATGGACAAGTGCCTTTCCCCATTTTTTAAAGTATGTTTTTAAGCTAAATTGAAGACATGGAGGAGGAGTGGAAAGGCTCTCTATTGGTAAGATAAGAAGAATGTCTTCCATTTTCCCTGTCCTTTCCAAAACATAGTCACAGTATCTCATCTTCACAATGGAATCTGTCACTCAGTATAATTTTTGAATCCGTCATTTTGAGCATTATTATTTTGGCTTGATTAACAAGGTGTGTGCAGTAGTTGCTACTCTCCCCATCCCGCGGTTCCTCCCCTCCCCTCTGAGCTGCACTCCGGCTGCCCTGGAGCAGCCCCGCCTAAGCACCTGCGAAGTAGCTGAGGACCAAGCAGGTGAGCTGAGACTCGTGGCCCATCCACAGAAACTGACTCTGGTCCTCTTACAAGCATGAATGGAATGCACCGAGAGGAAATCAGTCTGCTTCCAGACCTGACGAGAAAGCATGGAGGAAAGCAAGCAAGTTCACGCTGCCGGAAGGGATCTGGGCAGCACAGTGACCACCACCGTCGTCACCGTCACTGCAACCCCCCACACCACCACATCTACTGGACTCACTCTCAACTGGGCCTGCATTTTTGCATTGTTCTTTCTTTTTTTTTTTTTTTTTTTTTGAGACAGAGTCTTGCTCTGTCACCAGGCTGGAATGCAGAGGCACCATCTCAGCTCACTGCAACCTCAGTCTCCCAGGTTCAAGAGATTCTCCTGCCTCAGCCTCCCAAGTAGCTGGGACTCCAGGCGCACGCCACCATGCCCAGCTAACTTTTGTATTTTTACTAGAGACGAGGTTTCACCATGTTGGCCAGGATGGTCTCGATCTCTTGACCTCATGATCCACCCTCCTCGGCCTCCCAAAGTGCTGGGATTACAGGTGTGAGCCACCACGCCTGGCCGCATTATTCTTAAGACATGAAGACCTAGGCATGATCAACTCAATCCCTCTCTGCCAGGAGTCAGTGACCGCATCTGGCTTTTTCATCTTCCCAGTGGGAGACAGTCCCTGCCATGGAGGCTCATATCGTAGTGGGTCCCCAACACGGAAGGAGGTTTATAGGCTGTGCAGCCAAAACATGCAAAAAGACAGTTGCACAGTAGGTCACCTGTTATCTCCATTTTACAGATGAGGAGACTGAGGCCCATAGCTTCATTACATGACTTGCTCAGTGTCACACAGCCACTAAGAAATGTCACGCCTCTTATGGGTTGCTGTGCTTTGCTCACCAGAGCAGGACAAGCTATCTGGAGAGAGAGCGAGCTTCCAGTTTGCAGCCTTGCCACCCACCTCTGAGTCTGAAGACAGTGCTCTAGGTTGAGAATATCTCATACAATGTGGGTGTTTCCATGCTAGCAGACAGGTCGGTACAGGCAGGCTCAACCTTTCCCCCTCTCCCCATTCCTGTGATCTTTCTCTGGATCCCTCTGGCCCCATCACCAAAGTATCCACACCACAATGGTCAGGGAACTGAACATCCTTCTGGCTGGGGAGCTGTATGAGGCCGAGCAATGGACAAGTCGGGAGGAGGCAGGAGCCTTGTGCTAAGGTGTGGGGGCTTCATTTAACCAGAGGCTGCTGGGAGCTTGGAAGGGTTTTCAGCAGGAGAGTGACCAGATTAGGATTTAGGAAGTAGGAGAATGGATAGGAGGGAATGAATAAAGAGTGGATATGAAGAGGCTTATTAATAGGCTTATAGTAGACGGGGTCATAGTGTGGATGGAGAAAAGTGAGCGAGTCAAATATTAAACAGGTGGAATTCAAGGTCTCAGTGATGGGTTAGACACAAGGTGGGTAGGGAGAGGGTAAAGGGGAAAAGTCAAGCTGCTTGGACAGCTGAGAGCTCTAAGGAGGAAATCCCTAGTAGACAAACAGGTAAAAGGAAATGTGATGCTTCTGGGGCTCAGGAAATGGAAAGGTCAAATGCAGCCTCCATTTGAGGGAGTGTGGATCACTCCCCTTCCTGCCTCTGTTCCTCCAGCTGAAGGCAGTGGTCGGTCAACCTCGCACTTCATCACCAGGTGTTGCAAGGCAAGTTAATCACCCGAGGCAGCAGCTCCGACAGGTAACAGCACGAAGCCAGGAGACCTGGGCTCTCCATTGGTTCAGCTGCAAACTAATTTTGTGGCCTTGAGAAAATCCTTGAGCAAATCTGAGTCTTGGTTTCCTGGCCATCACCAACATTACAGGGGTTTAGGAATGCAATGTGAGGAGTTAACTGCTACGTAAGTGTTTACTGCTAATAATCAACCATCCACAAAACACCTGTGTATCACCTAGACAACCTAGCGGCTATACAAATCTTAAGTGGCTCTTGTTCTTCTGACTCATCACATTCTATCCATTTAACTTCCAGAACAAATTTAGCCCTCAAAATATCCTGTACCTTTTCTACCCACCCCTTACTCTTTAAATCCTACATCGTTTAAATGCCACCTCACCGTTTCTGCACACTTGTTACCCAGCACGCCCTCATCCTTTTCCCCTTGAAGCAGCCAGTCAAGCCCCTCCCATGCTTCCTCCAGAGGAAACAAAGCTACTGGAGACTCTGCCTTTGGCAGAGAACAGAATGTGGGTCTGTTCCAGCCACATTCTAAAAGAAAAATCAGCAGAGCATCTCAGGCAGGGGCAGGGAGAGCAGGGCAGGGGAGGAGGGGAGAGGAGAAGTTTGCAGTCAGTGAATAGGTGCAAGGTGGCTAGAATTAAGGTTGTCAATTAAAATAATTTCAACCTACACACACGTGGCAGCCTTGAAGCCACAGGATGCCAACCGCAGCATCCGTTTCAAGACTTTCTGATCACCAGCTACTGTGCTGGCATCAAGCAGCCATCAGGCGGATCAGCTTGGAGTCCTAGCCTGTCCTATCACTTATATGCCCCATCACCTGCTCAAGGAACGACTAGAACTAAGGCTGGCCCTGTCCTGCCAGAAGCATTTTCGTTAGCCACTCTCAGTTCATGGTTACGTTAAAAAAGAAAAAAGCCTCCAAAATATCTAGTAATTCCCTTAAATGCAGGGCTTAGAATAAGCTCTGAAGGTTGCTTAAGAAAGAGCTGAAGAGCCTTTCAAACTGTTTGCAGTTGAGAAATGAACAACTCAAACGTTTGCCTCCTCTGGCAGCCTTAGCTATGGGCTCCTCTGCAGTTGGCTGGGGCTTAGATGGGAAATTCTTTCAGAGCAACAGGTGCCACCATCATGAAAGCTAACAAGAATGATAGAAAATGTTTACTGAGCACTTACTTTGTGC